CTCGATCAAATGTCTTGCGACATGTGCGTTAATCACTGCCTGACAGCCAAGACAAACAGAAGAAACAAGCTGGTGCTAAAGGCAGAGGTTATTGTTGGGCTTAATGAGGTCAGATACCAAGTATTATTTAATGCTAAACACCTACCTACACATTTAGTATCCGCTGTCTTCAAGAAAAGTTGCGTCCGCACTTAATTAGGTCATTCACGGATGTCGCAAAGAAGGAAATTGCGTATACGCTCAAACTTCCGCGCAAACTACGCACACACCCATTGTTTACAATATATAAATTTAGCCGTGTCGGGATGCGTCCCACAGGAACTTGGAGGCGCTTGCGCCTCTACATTTGACCTTGCCATCGGCTTCTGAATCCGAACCTGGAGGTCAAGCTGAGCATCCATCCCGCTTAGACCCAGCTCCAACGCCTGAACGCGAGCTCGCGTCGCGTCGAGAGCACTCTGGGTCTTACTTAACGTATCAAAAAGACAATTCAGTTCGAGAAGCAGATTCTCGTGCTTCTCCTTCGGTACACAGATCACCACCGATGCTGCTCCGTGAGCAAGGAAGCCACCAGTTCCGTGTGGAGAAAATTCTGAAATGACGTTGTCGTCATGGCCAATAACAAATTCTGGATAAGTGGCATGGGTATTTAACATTAGATTAAATCGTGAAAGTATGAGATAATCCTTCGGCAGGACCTCCCATAGGCCGTTGATGATTATTAACATCGCGGCGAGGGTCATCCTTCGACCGAGAACAGGTTTCACCAATATTTATGGGTGGGAGCGGGTTGCTCTGCAATTTATGGCGGGAATCAGCGGCTACCGGCGCATCTGAAGCATATCGTAAGCAATTACACAACTGGACTCTGTTCTAAGCTTTAGACACTCGTGTCGAGGCATCCGTTCAAGTTGACTATTGTCCACGCTAGTGTGGTGGAGTGGGGTCTCAAATCTGCGTGACGTCATCCCAAAACACTCACTGTGCCAGACTGCCGACGTGCGGGTGTATCCCGATGCCGCGTATGGACCTTGACTCACCTTGGGTACCCGTCGGCTGGCGGGTTGCACTCTTCGGTAGACTCGGACGAAGGCTGAGACGTGGTAGCCTTGTCAGTGGTAGACCTTGGGTCCCTAGTGGATATGCTTCACTAGGTGGGAAGGTAGGTGACCGCTCGATTGATTCGGATAGAGCGGGCTTACAACCAGATTCTTCAGGTAGCTTGTCGCCCTGGTCTTTCGTATAATTACAGGGGTGTTAACCTCCTGGTCTTAACCTTGCTCCCTAACCGCTAGGTTAGGAGGCAGCTTTCGGTAGCGGATAATGAGGTGGGGTTGCTACTCGACGAGCTCACAGGCCAAATACTTCCTGAGGTCCTACATGCACTTGGTCTCGCCACGCAAACGTCTTCAACGGGGTGCCGAAGTATATCCTTTCCCCAGAACAGGCGGAAAGGCCTAACAAATTATCTCTTTAAACACGACGACGTGCCACGTAGATCGCAAATTGAGAATTGTTCGATATAGTCCTATCCTCAAGCTTCTCTACTCTATCCTTGCCCAATGCACTGAATCTTTATGTGGCTAATCAGGAGTAGCCGGACGATGAGGGACCGGGTCTACCCATGAGGACTCATGGTCTACCGGTGACGTACCGCGGTTATCATCTGTCAGTACTGCTTGGCCTATACCTTGGCAACGGTCTCCCCCATGATTGATCTTGCGGTCCCCTCTCTCATGATGGCTTAACCTCTTTCGAGTCCCCTTTTGCTTAAGATACCCCCTTTTCCGAGGGTGACCCCTTGTCCCTTCACCGGACCGACCTCAAAGCCTATTATTCTTCGAAAGCTTTTCACCACACTGTCACTCGCTTTTAGAGCCATCATACCGCTCAGGTGGCGTTGTTAGTACACCCAGCGAATGAAGTAGTTATCTTCCTCTTCAGTTAATTTGCTAGCAAACAAAGTTATGGGCACGCCCTTGATCTGCCGAACTGGCTCACTACAAGCTTTTCTCTCAAGGTGTATAGTGACTTCGCTTATTCAAGAAGACTTTACGGCACCTAATATGCAGTGCCTGTCGAAAGGCAATTTCCGCGGGAGAGGTAGCCTCTGGGCAATTGGACCATGTCTACAGACTACGGTCCACCGTTTGAAGGAGATTTTGCTCGACGTCAGGTGCTGTAAACACATGGCCGCAACGGTTTGGGTGACCCTTTCAGTCTGGTAGCATTGAAGAGCACTCCTATCTCGATGAAGAACCAACTCTTGCTGCTCGTCGAGCGGGTTGGTGATGATGGTTTCCCTAGCATCCTTTTATGATGCTTCGACGCTAATGCGTTGGTTTCACCACGTTCGACGAACGCATTGGGTGCTTAAAGAGGTCGTACCTCATTTACATGGGTTTGGACATCGTCCCTTCTTCACCATGGACACTGGCATCGCTACCATTGTCCACCTCCTCATAGAGATCGAATTCGAGGAAAGAGCCTGAGACTCGTGGGGTGGCGGTGCCATGAACCTTAGTTCTCTGATCAATTCTGTGAGGTTAGGCGTGCACACACCGTTCTCTTCGAGGAAAGAATTCGATCGACGTTTTGTTGTAATGTCAGTCTGGTTGGAAGGGGTGGAAGAGAGGTACACGATGGTTGGTAGCCGACACAACATGTGTGTTATACGTTAGGGATGAGATTCCATCACAAATTATGTTAGACACCGTATCAGTTGTTGGGGGTTGACGTGTGTCAGGCACCATATAAGAGATCATATATAGGTATTAATAAGGGCATTAGTGTCTAGGTTAAGTACATTTAGATTGAGGTGCATTGTTTGGATAAACAAATAAAGTTCAGTTCCCCCTTTGGTCCCCATAAGACACGTGCTTTCAAAAGGCGTCGTGAGATCGACAAGAGTCTAGCAAACACCTCGCCAATGTAGCTACTCTTGAGCACTATGTGCTGTGATTCTTTGAATCGTTTAGTCCCCTGGAACAGGGACCGAAAGCGCTCTGGGCTTGTTGACTCTCTGAGTCGGGTTCGTTGAGCTAAGTTGGTCGTTGAGCATTGAAGTCGTCCTATGACTAAAGGAGCTGTGCAGCTCCGCTATACAATATTAACGACTCGCACATCGGTGCGAATTCGAAACTAAGGATACCATGGCCACAGCCAGCGTCCAGGAAGTGAAGAGGAGGTCTCGACTTTGCATTTGCATTGTGCCCGAATTTCTCGTGAATGTCACGGTGCGCAATTCGCAGTGCGTCGGCGGCCCAGTACTGAGTCATCGGACCAAAGACCGAGCTATAGGTCGTTGCATGGGCAGACCACTTGGCATCCGTATAATCGTTCTCCATTTACGAAAAGATTGGAGGATTTTCGGGTAAAGGTATGGGAGAAAAAGGTGCGGAATTTGAGGTGTGCGTGGGTCAAAAATCAGGATCGAGGGTGTTGTATTGGAGCAGGCAAATGCCGAAGTGAGTGGATTGAATGTTTACCTTCACCGAAGCTTGTTCGACTTGATCTGCCTTGAGCTGTTCATGCGACTTCTCAAGCACCAAAAACGATTTCGTGACTTTTCGAACACTTGAGATGATTTCGTGACTTTTCAAATCCCAAAGATGATTCAGTGGAAAGGAGAAACCGTTCTACATCATGTAAGAATATTATCCATAACCGCCGTGACATGAGCAACGGTACTTCAACACAAGAGCAGGTCCATGGGTCGCGCACGAGTTCTTGGCTACGTGACGACGTTTATGATGGTTTCAAGAATGTTCGCCATTTTCTCTTCACGATCGACGGACAGACTGTGGCGTCAACAAAGTAACGATGTAATTTTTTTGCTGACTTGATGATGAAAGCAACCTTTCGATACAAACGAGACGAACGAAAGACGCTACGAGCTACTCTTGTGGCATCAATGTATGCTGGACACACCATGTAGATAACGCGCGTTCACATCTCTGGCGATCAAAGCGCCTTGTCGTTGAGAATCCATTTGCCCGTCCGCTTGCTTGAATGTACTGGACGCTCGCAACGCCATCACGGCCAGAGGAGCGACAAAAAGGCTCCGTGGTATCCATCAGTGGGCGGCATCGCGTGCAATCGCATCGCAATACCCTTCAGAATAGTTGATGTCGTGTATATGGTTGAGATACTGTAGCAGCTTGCTATTCGTTGCAGTTGCCGCTGCCTGACGAGGCTGGGCAGTTTCACCACCCCCAAACACTACTGAAATCTGGGAGGCTCGAGAGACTGTCAGCGTTGCACTTGCAGAAGAACGAGTGCCTTGATACGACAAGAAGTTTTAGAGACAAAGCCTTCGCATGCCTCTCACTCGAGCATCACGGCACCGCATGTACTACTACAGAGGTACGTGCCGCGACGGACGTTTGCTCTTTGTACATATCGAGCGAGTCCCGCCAGTTGGTCTCGATTTACTACATGCCGCGACGGATGTTTGCTCGTTGTATATATCGAGCGAGTCCCGCCAGTTTGGGTCTCTATTTACCCGTAAAAAGTGGGTACTTCATTTTCAGGAGCGACACAATGTTGGAAGCAAACGCAAGAAAAGTCCCACGTAACGAAAAGAGCTGCTGGACGGATGGTCAGTATGAACAGCAATCTCGCGTCCGTTCTGTCCTTGCAGCTTTGCTACCAGTGTTTGCGATCCCAACTCTTCGCACACCTGTGTTTCCGATCCCAACTCGTCATGTCTCGCCGTTTCGCCACGTTCCATCGTCATGGGCTGTGTATCGCGCCTTTTCCAACGCTCAGGCTATAAAAAGTCACATACAAAATTGGGCCACCTGCAAGAAACGACTGTCCCGTCTGTGGACGACAGACCCACCAGGCAAGCGCAGGATGACGTGAGCTGCGTCATATTTTTCCATCGTCCCACGGTTCGTCACGGCTGTCTTTCTTTTTGGACGACTGTTGGCAACGGTCGTCCACTTGATCGCATCGCTTCCACCAAACGTCGTTCATCGTGCACTGGTCGTGACCTCATGCGTGCACTTCGAGGTGCTTCGTCCATCCCTCGCTGGCTCGTGCAGCTCCCCGTGCCCCCCGTGCTCCAGCTGCATCCATGGCGGCTCCTCGCGGCGCTCTTGCGGTCGCCCAGTCGGCTCTTGGACGGCGTGACCGCTTCGCATCATCGCTATTTGGACCGCGTGGCGGCTGCCGTGACGCAGAATCCAGTGCTGTTCCCCCATGGCTTTTTCGCTGAGGGGTGGGGCGACCTGAGTACGTTCGAGCGGATCCGAGAGCTGGTGCAGAGTCGACGGCTCGAAGAGGTCGTGAGGTTGCGCGGCGGTGACGTGACGTGGCGGACGACGACGACGACGACTGGGCAAGCGCTGTCCAGGGCGAAGGTGGTGCTGCGAGAAGGTCAGTTTCTGAGCACGTTGGCAAACGCAGCGCAGTTGCTCCCAGCAGAGAGTCTCAACGCGCAATGTGAGTTGGTCACTCCGTTGGAATGGGAGCGAGAGGACGGCTCGATCCCACAAGGAACGACCCATCGACCGCTTGTGGGTACGTTCTATGGTGACTGCACACTGTGAAATGGGTCATGAATCGTAGTGGTGGTGATGGTGGTAAGGAGTATTCTTGTGTGTGTGTTGCTGTTGTTGTGTTGTGTTGTGTTGTCACTGGCTGATTGTGTGTTTGTAGTGCTATTACCGGGAACGGGAGAGCACGGATTTGTGCATCGAAGGACGTCGATTGCGATTCCACTGGCCAAACAAGGACTCGCGACGTTGGTGCGGTGTGTGGGTAGCTGCAAAGCGGTGCGACGGAAGATTATTGATCCGTTGTCTGCTGCTGTTTTTTGGTGGTGGGTTGGCCCGTGGGTTGGTTGGTTGGCTGGTTGCATGCTTGTGTGCTTTAGATCTTGGAAGGACCTTTTTACGGCAAGCGCAAACCACCTCAGCAAAAAGGGTCGAAGCTGCGGAGGTGTGAGACGTATCACGTGTTAGTTGTTATGGGCTGCTTATCGCTTGGTCATGTGCTGAAGGATTCTACTGTGGACGTTGTCTCGTGTAGGGTAAGCGACCTGCCGATTCTAGGCCAAGCAACGATTGAAGAAGCCAAGTCCTTGCTGCAGTACTTCCATGAGCACCATGGGTTCTCGCAACTCGTAGTTGCAGGCAGCAGTATGGGCGGACTGCATGCTGCTATGGTCGCATCCGTGTTTCCTGGCGAGGTGGGCGTGACAGCCTGGTTGGCGCCACCATCTGCCGCCCCTGTTTTTGCAGACGGATTACTCTCAGGAGCTTGCAACTGGCGGTCGCTGTACAAACAACACGAGTTGCTATTGCTGGACAAAATGCTGACAGGATACGCCGTAGCAGACTCGTGCGAGAACCAGATCGATGGTGTCTTTGAGGGTGCAAACGGTCGCGCTGAGCTCGCTGACGTGGCGCCAGATCCCGTGCAAGAAGTGAAGAAGCGCATGAGATTGTTCCTCTCCATCACGGACATTGACAACTTCTTACCTCCGCGACGGTCAGATGCCGTGATCTTTGTCTACGGCACTGAAGACGAGTACATTAGTTCCAAGGAGTCTCAGTGGGAGGTACGTGTTGTTGTTTCACATCGATTGTGACAGCTGACACCTCAGTCTTGACGATGTTGTCTGTCTAGCGCATGCGCGAACAATGGAGAGCAGCGCACTTTAGAACGATACGGACAGGCCACGTCAGCGGTATATTGCTAGAGCAAACAGCTTACCGCGAGACTATCTTGGAAGTCGTTGGTTTGTTACAGAACCGAAGTGCAGTAGCAGAGTCCTCGTCAAGCGCTACTGTTTCTTCCGGCTTGACACGTTGACGAGCTTCCGATTGCACGCGTGCACCAACGTCTTATTTTGAACATCAGCAGCTGCCAGGTACAGCATAATCAAGCCAAGCTAGCTTCTAGCTCGGCATTGCAACAACAAAGACATTGTCTTATCCTTCGCATTCGCATCAGTCGTACAATCGGATTACTCACTCGTGTAGACAGCAGACGACAATGTCCTGGTACGTGCTCATCACGGTGCGCAGCTCCCCGCGAGACAAGTTCTCGCGCCACATAATCTCTTCGATATGGTGCTCTCCATGAAAATACACGCACAGGCGCTTGAACAGCGCAAACACGGGATTGGGTTTGGCGATCTTGGCCAGATACGCCCGCTCCTGATCGGTGAACAGCAACTGGCTCGCGACGTTCGTCGCTTGCGCCATCGGCACTGTGCTGCCTCCGTGTCCTTCTGCTGTAGGACGTCCGCACATTGGTGCCACTGGAGGCGACGGCAATGCCAAACTTGCTGGACCAGCAGGTGGTGTCTGCGCTACCGACACACTTCCAGTTACGCTCGCGTTTGTCATGCTGCTGTTGACACGCCGACGACGGAAGCTGGATGCTATGGGTACAGGAGAGGACTCTCCGACGGACGAAGCGCGTTTGGCGCCAAGGTCAGCGGCGTAGTCTCCGTCCGACGGAATCATAAAATAGATGTAGCGGTGGAGCTGCACAACAAATCGCTGCTGCAGCAGCCAGATCAGCATGTGGACGTACTCCGTTTTCTTCGCCGTCGACAGAGTCTTCATGTACTCGCCAATGCGACGCGTTCCTGAGAATGTCGACAACACTTCTCCCAGTTCATAGGGTGCAAACTTCCGCCGGAACTCCACTGCCAGCGGTGATGCGACGTGCAAATCTGCGCTCGCAGTCACCTGGTAGATGTTGTACAGCGTGATGGCGTCCACGATACGCCCGTGTCCCCAGTAGACGAGATGAGCCGACAGGCGAAAGACCTGGTGGATCGGAATACTAGTCTCGAGAGCGATGTCCTGAAAACTCTTCAACGGGTTCACCGCCTCAACCAGATCTCGTAGCTGACGTGCATGATCGGCCGGCAATTGCGTCAAAATTGCACTCTTGTCCGACAAGAGCAGCAGCGTGTGGTACGGACGTAGACTCGCCATCTGCACCGTCACCGCATCCGTGAGCGTCAGCGATAACTTGACCCATCCATTTAGGACAACGTGCGCAGCCCCTGCTTCCGCGAGTCCATGAAACACGCGCTTCAAATCGTTCGCCAAGACGCTCTTCTCCAGCGACACCGCCGTCAGCGTCTGCATGTCCACCTCCACACTGCTCGATCCACTCCCACTCTCCCCCGCTTCGCTTCGCAAATGATGAGGCGGCGGCATCTGATGCGGATGTGGATGGTACACATGCACCCCACTTGCCCCAGCAGCAGTCCCCGCACTGCCACCTCCACCGTCCACAGTCCCACCTGCGCCGTTACTGCTCACTGCACCTCCCACTGCTGCTGCAGCTGCTGCACCCGCTGCACTCGGACCCGACGCGCCGCTACTCGTTCCACCTGCCCCTGTGTTCGCTGCACTGCTCGTCCCGGCGCGCCGCGCGCTCTGCACGACTTCGTCCCGCACGTGCAGCAGCTCCCGCACTTCGCTCGACACGAACCCCACGCGCAGCTCCTCGTGCAGCAGTCCGTTCGCCAGCTGCGCCGCCACTGTATAAAACGCCTGCGCCCGCGTCCGCCGCCGCTCGTCCGTTGTCGCGCCGGCGTCCGCGCGCCACACGCCGTCGTCGGTCAGCGCGAAGATGACGTTGAACATTGTCGTCTCGTGCGCGTCGGTGGACACGAGCACGGGGTGGCTCACGAACCGCAGCTCGTCGACCACGAGCTCGAGGCGCGCGTTGCAGAGCGCGTTCTTGGGGCGGAAGAGCTTCGCCAGGAGCGGCGCCGGCAGCGTGTGGAAGCTCGAGGCCTTGTGCGGCGGCGCCGGCGGGTAGCGGAACGCCAAGTTGCAGCCTTTGCTGCTGTCGTCGACGACGAGCGCGAGGCCGACGAGGCGGCAGCCGTCGGCCGAGGGCATGGGCCGAGGAGCTGCTGGTTAGGTGCGGTGCGGTGCGTACTTTGGAGCGTGCAAGGGCGGGGGACAAGAGACAGGACGGGACGGGGGGGCACGTGACGGATGTTGGTGGAGAGTGAGTGGGCGGGTGGGTGGGTGGGTTTTGGTTCTGGTTTTGTTGTCGGAATGGGGGTGGGGAGGGGAGGGGCTGCGAGCGTACTTAGGGGGCGGAGCACACCACGTCGTGCGTGCGCGCTCGTGCTGTTTGATTGTTTTGGTGAAGAAAAAGGTCGCGTGGTCCGACGTGGGATGTTGCTGCAAGGTCGCTTGGTCCGACGTGGGATGTTGCTGCAAGGTCGCGTGGTTTCGGGGGTGTGAACGTGGACGTGGATGTTTTCTGAGGCGGCTGACATGACAAGTGGGAGGGACGTCGTGTCCGCCAAATGGCTTCAGTGAGCCAGCTCTCCTCATACCATGTTCCGCTTTACGCAACGACAACAGTGCAAGCACTTCTCAATGACACAAATGCCAAGTGATCGACATGGCCACTCGACGTGCTACTGCTCTGCTGCACAAGTTGGCGCTTGTCTCACTGGTGGTGGTGGTGGTGGTGGTGGTGGTCGCGCGACGAATGGTACTCGGCTGGAAAGCAGCTCGCTTTGCGCACGGCTTCAAACACGCGAGACGCGTTGCTCAGCCATTCCCGCAACGAGAGCGAACGTAGAGGCGGTAGTGGCTTTACTGGTCCTGAGGCCATTGCGGACGTCGGCAGCGCCGTAAACGACGGAGAACTTGGCAAACTCAGCACAAAGCGCTGGAAGTCGTCTGCTGCGTCATCAAAGTCGGCGTATTTGTTGGAAACAAATCCACTTCTTGCGCTCGACTGGGCCCCATCTCCTTCTTCTTCGCTCTTCTTGTTCTCACTTGCAAGTGACGCGGCTGACCATTCTTGGGCCAAAAGCTGTTGCGGTCGATGCGGCAGGACGAATGACGCTATACTGAGTGGACCGGTATCGTCTTCTGCTGGGTCCGTGCGCATCGTCACCTTGTGGGGAACTCGGACCAACGACTGCGACCACGCCGCTTCGAGGGCGCGGTCATGAGCGGACACCAGCTCGCTCTCGTGGTACAGCAACTCGGAATCTGCAACGTTGTTCGCGACGAAAAGTATCTGCGCGGCGTGCTTCTGGCTGTTGCCGGATACACTCGGCAGTCGACATTGCGACAACTTCTGCTTAATCTTGCACAGGAGGTCATGGACAGAGACTTGGAAAGCCAATCCGTCATGGACAACCAGCACGTAGTGGCAGATTGCACACAGGAACACAGCGATCTGGTACGATGCAGCTTCTACTTGTTGTTCCGGCGTCATGGCACCAAACCGCTGTGACTCTTTTCGTTCCAGCACGTCTACGAGGATCGAGCTACTCAGTAGCGGCTGTGTATCCAACAGCACCATCGGATGACCGGATCCTCCGACCATGGAGACAGCAAGATCGACTCCTGTAGTCTCGTGGCAATGCGAGACGACCGACTCCAAGCTCCGCGTCTTGAACCGATCCTCGTCCGTCTTTCTATCCCGAGCAAGCAGCGACAGCACCGTGGACTTGCCCACTCCATCAAGCCCGAGCACACCTATCACTGTAAAGTTGGTCAGTTCCAAGCACGTTCCTAGTTGCGTTGACAAGTCCGTTGCAAACTGCATCTGTGGCGTAATGAGCTTCACACTCGAAGACGGCGGATGGATCTTTGTCTGCTGTACCACAGCTGGTGTATACAGCCGTCGCGGCGTACTCATTGAGCCAACTCCCGTCCCACTGCGTCGCTCTCTTTTTCCAGACGGCGACGCCGCGCGGGTACCTGAAGTGCTCCAGAGTCGCATGTCCACTTGTACGGGACTGTCTCGTTCCACAGCTCTTGCCCCACTTGATCGAGGGGTACGTAATTGGCGAACGTCGGGTTCGTACAGCACTTTCGACGAGGAAGAGCTCCCAAAAAGAGGAGCAGAAGGAGCAGGAGGCCCTCCTCCTCCATTTGTTCCTGTCCCTGTTCCTGCTCCTCCACGCACCAACATGGACGGCGTCTTGGACATCACTGCAGTCGGTGCTGGAGCTGCCGTGCGACTACGGGGCCGCTGCTGTGCGCTTCGAAAGGCTCGAGAGGGACCTGACATTAGACTCCGGGAAGATCCCGCCGAATAGTGACTTGTAGAAGTGCTGTGACTGCCGCTGCTGCGCTGCTGGCAACAGAACATCACGCACGAGCACGAGAGAGCAAGAGACACAGTGGTTCAGACATATGTACATATAGAGATCGCAGAGGCAGACACCGTGCGGCAGGAGACGGACGCACCTGCTGTCGCTGCTTCTGCGGCGTAAGTTCGCGATCCATCTTCTCTTTCTGCTGACCGAGTTGGGTGTGACTTGCGCCGGACGATAGAAACGACATTTCTATAACGGGTCGTTTATTCCCCATGAGAGAGCGCGAGAGAGGACTGTGACGTTGGACGAGAGACGGGCGCATTCACGGACTGACTGACTCATTGACTGCCGAGAAAAGAGCTGGTGGTGCTCTGGCATTACATGGCGATTCGAGTCCGCTCGTTCCTACACCCGATTGTACTTGAGCTGCCGATGACGACGACCCCGAGACGCTCCAGCAAGCGCCGCTACTTCTGCTCGTGTGGTGCTCCTCTTGCCGCTGCTCTTGTGGCGTCGCCTCGTTGAGCGCGACACAAACGACTCGCGCTCGTCCACTTCCTGCGCGAAAAAGTCCATCGCTTGACGTAAAGCACTTACGGGCTGCTGCGCCTCCTTCTCCTTTTTTGTGCGCTCCTGTCGCTCCTTTTGCTGCTGCCGCTTGAGCGCCTGTGTCGCTATTGCCTCGGCCTCGGCCTGTCGCTCGACTCGCTTGGAGACCAGCAGGTCTTTGGCAGCGGAGTTGTTAGTCGACACCACAGCGGCACAGCTGCCGTCTCGAGATAGGCCCAGACCTGAGAACATGGACAACATGGCCGACTTGCTGTCCGAGCGAGCAGGCGCGGCCGGGACTGCTGTTGCCGCGTGTGGAGAGACGCGAAGGCTGGAGACAAAGGGCGACGGCGTAGTCGTCGAGGCAGCCGACAACGACGACGACGACGACATGGCTGGTGACGAGGAGAGGGCGTTTGTGATTGGTTGAAATGGATGAAACCGGGCTCTCGTGCCGTGAAGTAGCGGATCGAGGCTATTTCTCATTGCGTGTCGATTAAGTAGACGCGGAGACCGAAACGCTCGTGACGGAACGATTCTTGACGTCTGCAGGTGGTACCGGTATACCGACGCTGGACAGCTGGCACGCGCTGTCGCTTTGCCTCAATGAAAGCTGATAGGCAGGCTGCCTTTATAAAGGCTCATACTGTAGGAGACCACACGGAGCTTATTATACAGACAGACGTGACGAACAAACAGCGAGGAAATGTACAAAGCAACGGCTTATCGCGTCATACCTATCTCTTGATAAAAGTCCGGCACCATTGAGTTGAGCTCTCGGCACAACTTCGTCGTTCTGTCAGTGCTGACAACCATTCCAGTAGGCTCAACCGCTTTGCGCCAGTTGCACATTGTCGTAACACTGACTGATTGCCAACGTGTCGGTAGTGAGACTTTTGTCCATGAGCAATGAGTTTGGTCGATACCACGATCAACTTCAACGCTCTTCCAATCCGTTCTGGTGCGATTGGATGCCACATCGGTCAATAACTCTGACGACGCTTCTAGATCCATCTCGCTGGTCTTTCGAGCTTTACTACACGAGGCGGATCACACCCTTTCTTTATTGACCAATGGCTGCGTGAGCTGGTGCAAGAGTCACACGCCAAAACCCCAGCGGGGCTTACCGGACGACGCGAGGGGGTACGCGAGGGGGTACGCGAGCAGGTGTGCCGGTCAGAAAGACCAGATTGGTCACAGGTGTTTGCTGTCATCTCTGGCTCGCGCGCCTTCGTGTTCTCATAGAATGGACATACAATAATACCCACCGCCAGAGTATCCAGACCAAACATAGACCAGCTCCAGAGACGTACGACGACGGTTTGTTTGCATGTTTTCATTTGTATTGTACAACCCCTCCCCGCTGTTGTTATCGAACACCGTCTGGTGTTCCTCGTGCCTGCTGGCCGCCCCCAAGCCTTCTTGGTACATAAGACCCGTATCGATGCATGTGTAGGAGTAAAATAAGTGTAACCTGCGGCTGGTCGGCAATGTCGTGGGCCACCACCGCCGCCACCTCCATCTCTGTCAATGCTTACTGCAGCATCTCGTTCGACAGCTCGAGGTCCAGTGCCTCGTCGTGGCCACTGAGCTGCACGAGAAAGACACCGAGCAGATGGAGCTGCTTCTGGAGCTGGGCCATGCTCGGATTGTCGAGCAACTTGATCGACTTGAGTTGCGTACTGGGCGTGTGGCGCGCGACATATTGGATGGCGCAGCGGTCGACCTGTGAGTCGCCCAGAGCAATCACTTGCTGCGGCTGCTGCTGCTCGACGTAGACACCGGGGGCCGCCATGGCCGGTGTCTGTCTGAAGCCGCGCTTGGCGAGCACGTCCCTATAGACCGCAATCTTCCACTCAATGGGGCGGTCCGGGAGCACGCGCTCAAAGGCCGAGCGGGCCGAGATGACCGTCATCTGCTCCACTAGGGGCACGACGTTGGGCAGGAACCGCTGGCACGACGACTCGACCCATCCGGTGAGACCGTTTGTAACGATACAGCACGCGCCAATCTTGAGACAGGCCGTGAGGAAGTGCTCCACTTCGTTGGCAAACTCGAGCAGCGCGGGCAGACAGTCTGCTGGGAGCTCAAAGTCCTCGTCTTCGGAAAAGAGCCCGAGCTTGGCCAAGTGCGTGTTGGGCAGTATGGTGTCGTCCCAGTCGAGGAGAATGACTACGGCATGCGAGTAAACGTCAGCAGATGAGTGAGACACGTGAGGTGGACGGCTATGGTGTAAAGTGCCATAATCAGAGAAAGAAAGAGAACGAACGAGCGATGGACAACGTACGTGGGGCAGGCGACGCTGTCTGGTGGTCGGCGCTCTGTGTGGGCGACGCCGTCTCCTCTCGGACGGCGGTACTGACGACGCGGCTGACGCCCATAGTGAAAGTGTGGGAGTGTGTGTGTGTGTGTGTGGTTTTGTACCCGTCGGTCAACAGGCGCTTTGGGTGACTGTTGTTGCAGTTGGTGGAAAGTTGGGCTTTGACGCGAACGAAGCGGTATAAGTCGCTTTGTTTTGTGTTTCGGGAGAGGCAGCGGCTATAGTCACTGGGAGTGACTTGCGATAGCGATAGGGCACTGACGTGGCTAGGGGTGCAGTAGATAGATAGATAGGTAAGGGTCGATCGGTCGAGAGAGAAAGAAAGAAAGACAGAAAGAGACGGCTGCACGTTCTTTGTGCTGGCAGCGGTGGTTCAATGTACCGGTTCACAATAACATCTCGCGAACAAGTTTGCGAGACAGCCAACGAGCGGTTTCGCCGACCAATGAGAAAGGTCAACAGAGCGCAGCCCCTTTTCGTTTGGCTGGATGCATGTTTATGCGCGAGTCGATTGCCGGCGGTGGAGCCAATGTAAAGATAGAGGCAGTACGCGCTCGCAAGCGCGCTATCGGCTCGTTTTACGCGATAAAGGACGCTATTGACACGCCCTCTAACGAAGTCCAAGTCCATGTCGGCTGCAATAGGATCACGTTCTTCAAATGTGCGTAACTTGCAACAAGCTGCGCCCTTGTTGTCCTGACCGCGTTCGCGCGCAGCAAAGTCGTGTCAGCGAGTGGCCGTAATAACAACGCTTGTAGAAGCGACGCAGCGTACAAGCGTTACATGCCCTTTGCCATCTCGTTTCATCCCTTGCAGATAGTTGTTTGCATACAGCGTTATACGGTGCGGAAAGGTCGGAAAAGATCGTTCACTACCGGTGTTCAGGCGACCTCAAAAGTGCCAACTGCAATTAGTAATCTCCCACACACAACACACAAACTATTGCCTTCTCTCTCTGCTACTATGCACGTATACACCGAGCACTTTCGCACGAACAAAAGCGCAAATCTGTCCACACATCGATCGACTTCACCCGCATTAGTGACCGAGTCCATGTCCAGCAGTGACGTCGGGCACGCAAGCTGTCTGTTGCCGCATCTGTTCACGTCGTTCGAGGCGCACGTGATCAGTCGCCACAAATGCCGTATCCTGTCTTGCCACGAGAATAGCTCCAGCTGTCGACAGCAATGACATTCAGCCAGTCACTTCCATAACGACACGGGACAGCCCCTCAATAACTAACTGCCCGACGTGCCTGGAAAGTCGCAATAGGAACGAGCAACAAACTTGAGAGTTAAATCCCACACACAACACACGCTCTCTTGAGGACGAACCCCAACAGCTCATTCACCAGTAGCTACTGAGACGTCTATACCCTTTTGTCGCATCTCAACGACGCACACGTCCACCTCAACCCGTTAGACCTCATTTCCTTCCATTCACGTGCATTCGCGTCGTTAAATATGCCGCTTTTTACTTGTCTGCTCACTTCCGCATGACCTCCTCCTTCACTTCGAGCACGTCGTCGTGCGTGTGTTTCTGCACAATGTACTCGTTCTCGTCGTCACTGTCGTATCCGTTCAGCAACGAAATGTACTCGGCACGACGCTCGGCAGCCGTCCCCAATCGCTTCTGCAGCAGCTCTTGAAACTCCTGTTCCTGTTTGTTGCGTTCGGCGCGCTCGGCCAACACCCGCTCGCGCGCCTTGAACCGGTCCATCTGGTCAAACCGCTTTTCAAACTTCTTGAGGTTCTTGACAACGTTCTTGAACTGCGCTTCCGACAAGAGCGTACGGGGCCGCGGCCGCCACAGAAACTGGAAAAACGTGTCCTTCTTCTCTTCCAGCAGCTTCTTCCCTTGGAACGTCCAGAGCGTGTAGCCATTGTCCATTGTGAGCTTGTAGTACGAGTTGTCCAGCGGCTGGCACACGGCAGTAGCGACCACGCGTCCAGACGGGTCCCACTCCACGTGCGAGCACTTAAAGTGCTCCTGTACTGTGATACTCTGCTGCTCCGTCGTGTCCCAGAACTCGAGCTGGCCATTGATCTCACCGAGCCCCGCAAGCACAATGTTGTTGCCCAGGGGCGACCAGTACAAATGGCTACATGCCTTATCCGTGAGCGTGTACAGCAGCGTCACCTCCTTGGCCACGTTGCTGCCGCCGTCCATGTCGTAGAACGACACGTTCAGGTGCTGTTGCCCTTCGCCGTGCACAGCCGCAAACCGCGTGCCCTTGGGCTCCCAAGCAAACGCGACAATGTTGTCCTTGACCTCAAGCATCTCGACAGGCACGAGCTGCTCTTGCACGCGGAACAGCTCAAAGTTCGTGTACATTGTCTTCTTCGACTTGGAGTGACGCGTGACCTTGACGCACAAGAACGTGCCATTGGGGTGCCAGTGCAGCTTGCAGTCGCTCACGTTGAACAGGTTTTTCTGGCGCACTTCACGGCGCGACGGCAGCTCGACCAGCGACACACGGGCGGGCACATTGGTGTCTTCAGGCGCCCAGTAGGCCAGAATCGGGTCGGTTGGCGACCAGAAGAAGTCGTGCACACCCTCAGCACGGAGCGACTTCTTCTCGAGCAGCTTCATCGAAGGTAGCTCGTAGATACTGATGACGTCGTTGCCCCGACGAGCGACGTATTTGTCATCCGCACTCCACTTAAACGGGGTCATGAGACCCTGCACCACCTCGTTCTTGGCTCCCGTTGGCTTGCCAGCGGGGAACGCACGCAGCAACTTGCTCGTCTTGACGTCCCAAATGATGATAGCCGACTCCTGCTCCGTCTCGCTCACGGTAATGAGGTAGTTCTCGTTCGGCGAGAACATTGCGAGCTTGACTTTCTTGTGAGCAAAGCGCCCCACCTTCTCGTACTTGTCGCCGCCCCAGAGAGCAATGCCCTGGGGGTGGAACGTAGCTAAGTACGTGCCCTGCGGGGACCACAGCACGTACTGCATGCACCACTGCTTGCCGTTCGTCTTCTCCCGGTCGCCAGCATAGTCCAGCTCGATCTCGCCCTTGTCGCTCCAAAAGATCTCAGTCTCCGTGCCATGACGTAGCACAAACATGTCGCGTCGCGCTGGGTCCATGAGCCACGACTTGAGGTTCTTCGGCTCGACAAACTTTTCCACTTTCGGCGCGACAAATGCGTCCGGTGTTTGCAAGTAGCGCTCAATGTCCTCGTACTTGTTCACGATCATCGTGTGGCGCTTGTCCAGTGCAAAGTTATCAATGGTCCGCACCGCGTCCGCCGCGTGCGCCTCCTGCTCGTACTCGACAAAGGCAAAGCCCGTCGTGCTGCCGTTGTCGCCAAACGGCATGTCAATGTCCACGACAGTACCCACTTGGCCAAAGATCTTCTTCACCACGTTCAGGAGCTTGCCGTGCTTCGAGTCGTCCACTACAGGCAGTCCACCGACGACCACTGCCATACTAAAGTCGTTGCAAAAGTCCGCTTCTTCATGGGCTTTGGTCATCACCTCATCCTCCACCTCCTCGTCGCTCAGGTAGTCGGCATAGTGTTCTGCCTCGCGCTTGAGCTGCGCCAGCTTCTGCTCGAACGTCGGGGGCGTCATCTCGAGCTCAGGTGAGGAGGAAGCAGCGATCTTGGCAAATGAATGGATGGGGGGAAACTGTGTCTGACACACCAATGTGGCGTGCACAACTTCAGAGATACACCATCGATCGACCAAGAGCCGTGAGGTCGGGCAATGACCGCTCGGACAAACTGACTGACTATCTGACTGACTAGTCGACTGGCCCCTTCTTGTCTCATGTTGCCGCAAACGATACCCAGTCATACCATGTGGTACTTTGTTGATACGTTCGTTTTTCTTTGCGACAGCTCAGAAACTGACATTCTCTCGCGGCAGTAGATGCACCGACGACAGTATCCTTAGCACATTCCGATGACAAACATGATCGAGACTTGGCATCTCCTGGTGACTACGTGTTTGCTGGCGCACAGCGTCAACGCGGTCCTCGATGTCGCAGCTAAGCTGTATGGTCTTGAACAACAGCATGCAAGCGACGGCATGGATAGTGTACCGCAACTTGTACTGTCAAACGTGCCTCCTTCGCTGCTAGAGCGCTTGGCTGAGAAATCGGTCAAGTGGAACTCATTGTCGGGATACCTCCAGCGAGCGCTGTTATGGGACTTGGGGCTTGTCATGACAAGCACTGGGCGTCTCGTTCAGGTTTATACGCCGTGTAGAGAGTCCATGTCGATTGTGCTGACGTCGGTGGAAGCGTTTCGAGGCAAGGACTGTCCGCTCGAGACTTGTGAGTCAACAGGACTGTACTTTGCCGGTCCAAAGTGTTCACGACGGACGGTGTGGAAGGCGGCGCAGTGCGGGATTGCAGCCGTGGAGAAGAATGCAACGGATGTCATCGATGCTCAGCTGACCACGCTCTGGTCTGAAGATGGCGGCCTGACGGCAGTCCCGGATATCCGACTTTTCAAGCACTTGCTGCACAACACCTCTTGGTCGGATGAGATTGATGTGATCGTGGGGTCTGCCTTGGACGACAAGAATACGAACGCAGTTGACATTCTCTTCACGATCAATCAGGTCACACCATCATCGAGTGTTACTAAAAGCTGTCCGGACACGCCGTCCTTCGTTGCTCCTTGTGTCGAGTTCATTGATACTGAGATGGAAAGCTGGTGTCTTCCTCGCCGCGGTGGATTCGTCGACCTGTGGCTCGACAGAGCAATCTCAAACAAGTCAATGTCAATGGATACCTCAGCCACTGCAGTCGTCTCTACGACAAACGCTGCCACGAGTCGATCAGGAACGATCGTTGTGCTGATCGTGCTGCTCATCTTGCTCGTGGCCGCCATTGGAGCACTTGTAACAGTGCAGAGGAAACAATCCAAGACGCACTTTGTGGCATCTCCGGCCAATTACGAAAGCGGTACGACAACGCGGTCAAAGTGCAAGACCCCTCATGCAGTTTTTCGACCGAGCACGCCACGGACGTCCATGGACCAGCGACGGTCGATCGAGCTGACAGCTTTTTGTATCGACGCGAACATCACAGCCAAGCGCATCGCTTACGACAGTCTCACTTTCGACAAACTGATTGCACGCGGGGCGAGCGGTGAGGTCTGGCGAGGCACTTGCGGCTCCCGAGTTGTAGCGATCAAGCAATTGCTTCCAGAGAAGCGGCACAACGAAAGCGCCGTCATGATGTTTTCACACGAGGCCCGCATTGCATCGGCTCTGGAACATCCCTCCATCGTTCAGTTCGTCGGTCTCTCGTGGAATCGCGTATGCGACCTGTGCATCGTCTCGGAGTTTATGACGCAGGGCGATCTCTCGGTGCTGTTGACGTCTGCACGAAAGGAAGAGCTTTCGTGGTGCAAAGAGAAGCTCGCCATTGCCATTGACATTGCCGATGCACTGACGTATCTGCATGGTCGAGAGCCCATTATCATCCATCGCGACCTCAAGTCGCTGAACGTGCTGCTTGACAGCCACTTGCGTGCGAAGCTGAGCGACTTTGGGCTCAGTCGCGAGCGGTCGGTGGACGATACAATGACGAATGGCGTCGGCACTCTACTGTGGACGGCGCCTGAGATTTTGCGGGGTGAGGCTTACAGTGAAAAGGCAGACGTGTACTCCTACGCGATCGTTCTATCCGAGCTCGACACTTGTCTGCCACCCTTTGCACTCAATACAGAGGTGAGAGAGCATCATCTGACCTCCATGCAGGTCATGCACTTGGCTACATCGGGGGACATTGCCCCTCGACTGCGGGCCGATTGCCCCGTTCCGCTGCAGCAGCTCACAGCCGCTTGTGCGAGTTTTGACCCACGTCAGCGGCCGACCGCATTGGAAATTGTCTGTGCGCTCCGCAACATTGTTCGCAACGTGACCTTTGACGCGAGTTTTGCAGCGTCACGGTGTAGTTGAAGTTGCAGTGACACTCGCGCTAGAACGATTGGCAGGTGGCATTGTCGATACGAGAGACGGAAAGGGCACATAGCTTGGCATTGTGGGGGCTGAGATCAGTGATGGACTGCACGAAGAACCACTTGATGTGTCGTGCGACAAGCGGAAGGGAGCTACGCTCGGGCGTGTCGCAGCTGGCAGGTCAGGCCCGACGCGGTGCATCGCTTCGAAAACTGTCGGGAAAAACAAAGTCTAGGACCGAGCGCACATCTCTAGCTTTCCCGGCAGCGTTCTAGCTCTACCTACAGACCCAAGCCGTCGATTTCGCTCACCGAAAGACATGTAGGAAGAAGCTCCACCGTGTCCAGCAGCGCCTTTTTCCGTCTGTCCGTCCTCTTCTGCACCCATCTGCTTCTACCCTTATCAGATACTTTGCAGACAGTCTCAGATACTTTAATAACCGACCGCCAGTCGCCCCTTACGGAGCAAAAGCGTCCCTACTTCTCTCGACTCTTTCTCTTGATCAGCCCATCAACTTAGCCAGTCCCTCTCTTGATAGCCCATCAACTTAGCCAGTCCCTCTGTCCCTCAGTCTCGAAACCAGAGCGCCTCGAGCGCCGCCACTGTTGACAGTGTGTCTCCTATCCCAACGTCCTCCATGCCGCGGCGCCGGCGCAGCGCCTTCTCCCCGCTGTCCCACGCCCGACGGCCGCCCGACCGCATCCCTCTGCTCCGTCTCACGTGCCTCGCGCTCTGTTTTGCCTCTTGTAGCGCTGCGGGGGACCTCGTGACGCGCCTGTACGGCCTCGAGAAGACCGGCAGCTCCGTGTCGAAGCTGTCGCTGAGCCCCAGTGATCTGCCAAGTGCAGTCGCCAATCGGCTATCGAGCCACTCGCTGGTCTGGACCGACGTCTCGGGGTTCATGCAGCGCGCGTTGCTGTGGGACTCTGGGTTTGTGTTTGCACCGGCTGTAGGGAACGTCTCGCAGCCGTCGTCGCTGAGGAGGGCCCAGAACAAGACCCTGGTGCAGATTTACACGGCCTGTGGCAAAGGGATGGGCGACCTGCTGCCCCGTGTCGCAGAGGTCAAGACCCTTGCGGCTAATCGCAGTGCAGGGGACTGCGGCGTGGACAATTGCGGGAGCATTGGCCACTTTTTAGCAGCCACTTGTCCAGCCACGCAGGTGCTGCCCCTGACTCGGTGTGCTGTGTACGCCTCAGCTATGGAGGACCAGGAACAGGTGACAGGTGTGCTCTGGGCCGAAGACGGGTGCAGCACGAACGTGCCAGAGCCGGTGTTGAGACGCCACACAGCGGTCGAAACAGCAGCCAATCGATCGCTGTTTGCTGTCCATCTATCGAACGCCGTTTTCACAGGAGCAGAGTCGTGTCAGCCGTATACCGACTTTATTCTGCCATGCAGAGGGATGGCCGACGACGAACGGGCCGTGCGAAGCAGCGAGGGTCTCAGCTTCATTGACGACAGCGGCAGCTTTGCAAAAGCTGACTTGTGTCCAGCGTCGCATGGAGCACTGATGGATGCGTGGCTGAAGATGGAATCGGCGCCGTCAGCTCAGTCGTTTCCAACGTTGGCCATCGGACTGCTAGCAGCCTCGGTGCTGGTTGTTGTAGCTTTGATCGTCTCAGTCTGCTGGCTGAATCGCTCTCGTGCGCGGTTGCAGAACGCATACGACCAAGTGATGCTGGAACGGTCCTGGGACGATGATTGCTGGTCACCGGATTCACATCTTATGGGAGGACCGCTTGGTTCGTCGGGAGGTGTTGCTGGGGAAGAACGGCTTACACCAATGGAGGTTTTCTTTGGAGCTCAGCTAAGGAATCGGCGCTCGCCAGGTAAGCGCGGGACAGCTGCTCTTGTGGCGACCACACGTGATGAGATCATGCTATCGAACGACCAGCTGTGTCGCGAGAGCACGATTCTGCGTGCCTTTGTGTCGGATCCTGCCATTGTGACAAAACGCATCTCGTTTGCGCAGCTTCACTTTTTACGGTTGCTCGCCAAGGGAGGCAGCGGCGAAGTATGGCTGGGCCAGTATGAAACGCGTTACGTGGCAATGAAGTGTTTGTTGCCAGCAAAGCGCGAAGATCCCGAGGCGCTGGAACGATTTGCAGAAGAGATCCGAATGGCTTCGCTGCTAGCGCACCCTCGTATTGTAGCCTTTTGTGGCGTAGCCTGGCAATCACTGCTGCATCTGTGCGCTGTGACGGAATACATGCCGCGTGGCGATCTCGAGAGTTTATTGGCGAACCCGGTTGCTCGAAGGAAGCTGAGCTGGAGCAGAGAAAAGTTGGCATTGAGCAGTGACATCGTTGAGGCGCTCGTGTATCTCCATTCTCTGGAATCGATCGTGATACATCGCGACCTCAAGTCTAAGAATGTGCTGCTCGATCGACGACTGCGCGCGAAGCTGAGCGATTTCGGGCTTAGCCGTGAACAGTCGATTGAGGACACGATGACCAATGGCATTGGCACAATTCTTTGGAGTGCGCCGGAAGTACTGGAAGGGAAGCGCTATGATGAGAAGAGTGATCTTTTCTCATTTGGGGTAGTGCTGTCGGAGATTGACACGTGCGCTCTGCCGTATGGATTCAGTCGTCATGCCAAAATGCGCAGCATGCAGATCGTCCATCTTGTGTCGGAAGGCAAGTTGCTGCCCAGTTTCCGCGATGACTGCCCACCGCCAATCCGCGCACTCGCGCAAAGGTGTCTGAGCTTAGACCCTGCAGCTCGACCCACGGCAATGGAGGTCGCATTCGAGCTGCGCTCTGTGATTGCACCTCAGCTGCTTCAGCATGCAGTTTCGACAGGTGCTGACGGTGCCACTGGCAGTGTCACTCCATCGACCGTATCGCCGAGTGCAACAGACGTTGAAGGAATTGGCAGTGGGGTAGCACCGCCATCAACAGATGGACACGACGCGCACGTGATCGGTGAAGATGCAAACAGCAAACAGACCCAGACAGAGCCGTGGGTAGCGTATGAAAACTAGTCTCGATTGTCAGAAGTGCAGGTCGTCGCCACTTGCACGCGAAACCGTAAGGCAGTACCATTAACTTATGAACAACAGAACAATTGTAACTTACGTTGGTTCGCAACAGCTCGTGGCAAGTCGCTCATATGGCGTTCAGACGTTGCAAATGAGATCACACGGATCTGGTTTGGCATGTGATGCAATGGTACTGTACATCCAGCAGCGTCCACATCGCTAGATGCATAGCAGCAAGTACAATTCTGTCAGAAGATCAGATACCGCATACGCGCGTTCGAGCTCGTGACCTGCGAACATGGCGTACACATCTGTTGTCAAGATTTGATCTCGAGCAGAGCGTATTAACTTGACTGCTTATCGTTGACAATTACTTGTACCAGTCGTTGATTCCACATCAGAAGCAGTTTGCATTGTACAATGTGTCGTTTAGCTGGATAGAAAAGCACTCGTCAAAACTTGCACGTTGGCGTACAACATGAAGGGGTCACATATACTTGTGCTCACGATAGTCGATCGTATGCTAAGCAAAAATGTGCGAGCAATCGAAGAACACTGATCGCACATTGGTGCTTAGTGTACTAGACGCAGTATGTGCTCCTGGCCTCGTTTGTGGCAACAAAGGCTGGACGTTTGTCAATTATTGGAAACTTTGGACCTTTCGTGGTGCGTGCGTTTGTGTGGCGACAAAGCTGGACAATCGACTGCGTGGTAGGCCATGTACGAAGGCCATGCACTCAGTTTTGTGAGCACGCGCACGAAGCACGAATCAAGCGCAGACCTCTGGTAGATTGATTGCTTTATTTTTTGACCAGCAGGACGACTAAAGCATTGGTTTTGTCGAGACTGGAAACGCTGAAGAAAACGGGTTAGTAGTTGTAACGAAGCGAACCTGCGCAGTGCTTTTTTCACTAGATGAATGGCGGGACCAAACATGACGTTCGTCATGAAAGAGGAAGTATTGGACATCAAAGCTTGACGCGGTACGTAACTCATTGCCAAATTGTCGGACGCAACGACAAGTGAAAGGCCGTTACCGGAGCTGTTTCGACCTCACTCTTTTTTTCTTTACTTCCTCTGACTATCGATCGAAAAGCAGACTCAGAACTTTACTTATACCGGAAAACTGCTTAGCGACGAGTTCGACCGCAGACACAATGATCAGCACGTCGTACGGTAAGTATACTTCACACTGCACCGGTTCACGATGTTCAGAACTGTCCACAAATGTCGAAACAACGCTCTCTGTCCGCATTTTTTTACGACATTGTCCCTTTTTATAAAAAACAAACTCACAAGTAGTCGCACATCCTGTAAAACAGCGAGAACTCAGGACGACCGCCGACCCGCTGCCTTCAATGTCCTTGGGCGCCTGCGCGTCCGTCTTTGATGTATGGACTGGCTCCGCGACTCGCTTTCGGCTTCAGTTTGTCGACGACCGCCGTACAAAAGAGTTGCGCTGGGTGCTTTTCGCCTGTACGTACCAGCCACTTTTTTTCGACGCGAGAGCGCTTTTTTTACCGCAAGTGTAACACTCTATTTTTTCGGTGCACGTCGATAGCTTCGCAACGTGGTGCGGTTGGAAAACTAATCTTCACGCTGGAAAAAAGTGCGACCGCACATGTGAAGTCACTGACGGTGGACCCAGCGTTTCGGGGCGTTGGGTTGGCCCGTGTGCTCTATCTCGCGACACTTGCTACGTTAGAGAAGTGCCACGTGCAGGTCCTGTATTTAGAGGCCGAAGAGGACTCTAACCGTTACGGCAAACTCGTGGGACTCTATCAGGGCTGGGGATTCACTGAACTGCCCGACAGCAATGTGCTTTATCTGTACAATGGCAACGAGTGTCTTCGCAAAGTGCCAATGGTGTCCGTGTTCCAACCCGACGCTTTCGTTCCCCTTCGCTCGAGCGAAAGTGATTGGTTTGTTATGCTGACGTTAGAGACGTCCGATGGCACGTGTCTCATGGCACAAGACAATGGCGATATTGTGACGGGCAGTTCGAAGAAACCCAATACGTGCATGTGGCAAACGATGTTCAGTGCCTTTGGAGACATATGTCTTCGCAGTGTCTATGGGAAGTTCTTGTGTGTGGAAGAAACTGGTAGGATCGTAGCCGACCGACGCGTGAATTCAACGTGGGAGACGTTCCAAGTTGTGCCACAGCACGGGGAGGAAGCTGGCGGTGTGGCACTGCGTAGCTTCCACGGGAGCTACCTAGGCATCGAGCCAGTATCAAAACAAGTCCAAGTGTCGGACGATCCCGTGCCTTGGGACGGTGGGGACATGATGTCGCTCGTCTGCAACAAGATGGACCCGCACCCGCTGTTTGTAAAAATCATGCGGAAGTACCAGACAACAGCTTTTGTGAACAGCCAAGTGGCCAAGTACGGGCACTTGCAACACGCACAGATGTCGGTGCTCGAAGCTTGCAAATTTGTGATGGCGCTCACAGGAGACATGGACCGGGGGGCGAGTTGGGTGATCAAGTACATGGTGGCCACGGCAAGTGCCGTGAAGGAAGACGGCCACCCGGACTGGCTGCAACTTGCCGTGTTTCTTCGTGCGTTAGGGATGGTGTTTCTGTGCTGGACCGACGAGGACAACATTGCACTACGTAGTGTTTCAGCACAAGAGTGGCTGACGAAGAACTCGGCGTGGGTTGTTGGCGAGGCTATACCGAGATCCATTGCGTTTCCAGAGCTGAACAAGCTCAACGTGGACCACTGCAAAGCTGAGAAGGCTGGACGTAGTGCGACTCGACAATGTGGGCTCGCAAGCGTAACGTTGCCGTGGACACCGGACGAATATCTGTACTGCGTGTTGTCTCACAACAGGACCACGCTGCCTGCAGAAGCTCTAGATGTCGTCCGTTATTGGTCATTCAGAACGTGGCACGAACAAGACAATTACAGTGAGTTGTGCACACCTCAGGATATGGACACAAAGGAGTGGATCAGCTCGCTTGGTAAAGTGGCTGCTGTATCCGAGCACACGGTGCAGAACTGTGATGTCAATAGTGCGCTGCATTATTGCCTACAACTTGCCGAGAAGTATCTACCGGAGACACTACGCTGGTGATGTCGTTATCGGCACAGCAGACCGCCGAGAATTGTAGGCGGGATCGGCTTGGATGGGTGTGCGTACGCGGCGTATGTGCACGTCGCTGGCTTTACATGAGTGTGATACGATTGCATAAGGAACAGGTTGTTTTGCTGTGTGACTGCATGACTGCGTGAACTTTTTCGACTTACAACGAAACTCATGTCGTAAAACAGGTCTTGAGTCACCTGGTATGGCAAACGACGCATACTCGGCTGTGGGCCAGGAATGTTTGCTATGGATGATGCGATGCTTGGACTCGTGCTCTCGCATGGATAATGTATCCACCGTATGACGAAGGACATTGTCGTGGAGAAGGTAAAATCACGACACGGACACTTGCAAAAAAAGGGAGGGAAGCTGGACACGGATGCACTTGCACCGCACATCTCGGTCGAAATTGAGTGGGTCAAGATTGCTGCGGAAGTGAACGAGAGTGCAGGACGCAGAGCTGATGGTAGGGTTTGCATGGCGCCGTAGGTGTTGGCCTCTTGCAGAGAAAGAAGACGTCGAGCGAGTTGTGGCGGGCATATGTCGAGAAGAGACTGGTTTGAGCGCTTGACAGGACGCTAGCAAAAGGCGATACGATCAGAGAGAAGTCATTGCACCTGGTCAAGTCAATAAGCGCCGAAAGAAGTTGTGGCGGTATCAAGGACGTCGCCTGACATGCGCTTATGGTAACGCTTGCTTTGCATTCAACTTTACGTTGAACGAAATGACGTTGGGTGATCATTGAATGCGGTTCGTGTTGCAGCTCGTGCAGCTTGCAGCTAACAGACAACGCAGATCTCAGATTCCGACCATGAAGTGGATGACCTTTCCCGAGCAGGTGAAGGCGTAGCAAAGACAGATGACAAACATCAATCTCACTTCTCATATTTCCAAGTTCATACAAAGCGATCCCTCTACTAGCTAAGGGTCGTTCTTCTTCATAACCCCTCTGCGAGCCAAGGGTTGTCACGCCTGTGTGTTGAATAAAGACTCAGGCGAAGATACGCCACATTTCATTAGCAAGACCGTTTCGATGCATTTGCTGGTAAAGGACAATACGGTAATAGATGCTGTTGTGAACCGTTTCGAAGCGCTCGTGAGCATGAAGAAAGAATCGTTCGGGCGATGGCGGTGTCAATGCGATGTATGTTCTCGCCCTTCTGGTCTACCAACGACAAGATCAAAGAACGAAGAGAATGTTGTGATACCTACGCTCGACGAATACTGACACCCGAGTCAGTTGGCACCAGAAGACAAACACAGCACACAGCGTTTCAACCCAGAGATGATCAATCGTTTGGACTCTCGGGTGTGCGATATTGTCAGACCGGAGCGTTCTGATAAACTCGCACTGTTCACTACGCACATTCGCAAAGCCCATAGCTGTCGTCGTGCAAACTCGATCGCGCTCGTTACTACGATAGCAATAGTCATGAGGTTCCCGCATTGGTCGGCAGCGAGGCAAACTTCTGTCGACTGTGACGACGCAGACACTTCGGCCCGCAATATATGAACGCAAACTTGGTAAAATATTCGCCCTCCACGGGCTCGAAACAGTTGCCACATATCGAGCAATGTAAGTAGTTCTTGGGAAGTGGCGGTGCTTCAGGAGGGACATACCATGCCAAGAGGTCGACGACATTTGTACGCACAATCTGATGCCATTGGGCTGCAGTGACGCCATTGTGCAGCATGCGATGCTTGAAGTGCTCGAACAAATACGCATAACCTCCGCCACCGTTGCGACGATATTGTGTTCGCTGGTGAACGTTGGTAGACAGGAGCATCTGGAACAGATACTGCGGGGCGGTGATCAACAGTCTTGCAAGCCACGTTGCGAGGCGACTATCAGGAGCCGGCTCCTGCCATTCGTGTTCCGGCGAAAGCGGGAATGAACCCGACACGCTTGTGAAACACGGGTTCACCAGCACCACATCGCTGACTGTCCGAAGGCCAATCATGTCGAAAAGCACCGAAACGCCCAAGCCAAACAGCTCCAACAAGAACGCGTACCCAGCCTCGTCAAAACGCCCGTGGCACCAGCGATCTGCGTGACAGACCACAAGCTTCTTTCCTTCGGCGCCAGCTTCCAGCAGCGCGTGTATCCAAGCTCGTATCACCTGTTGTAGTGCTGACTGTTCTTCAAGAGGCTTCTCACTCGCGTTGTCGAGCGAAAACGACAGATACAGAGGAGCGTGCGTTCGTGCTTGCGCCTGACACACGAAACAATTACACCTAGCGTTACCACCGTCAACGGGGGATCGTCACAAAGCGGACACACAAGACGACCCAACATATCGGTACAAGTGTCCATACCAGTGCCAGGCCCTGTACAAGCACTTGCTCTGCTGCGCCGAGTGCTTTGTTCGTCGCATGTATTTGCTGGTACATTGCTCCAGGGAACACCACCGCACCTTCTCGCTCGATACCAAACATCAGTTCCGCCTCCAGTCTCTTGCTAATGCCTTCACTCGTCTTTGCTAGTGGCAAAAAGGCACTGCCAACGTCGTCATCACGCGTCTCCATCTCAACTGTCGTGACAGTCACCAGGTGCACGTCGTGCAGTCGTTCAGCCAGGTGCAGTCGCTCTTTCATCAACGCGTCACGTCCTTCAACCGGTACCGTCACGTCTACAACCAGACATCGAGCGCCAACGCCGTTCCCCAGTAGCTGCAGCTTTTCCAGTTCTCGAAACGCTTCGTCTTCTTTCTGAAGCAGCAGATTTCGACCGCCGTGCGCAAAAGGCGATCGACGGTACTCCACGAGATCTTCACAGCGAATGTTTACGTTCGTGAGCGCGTCACTCGATGCTGCAATGGACCCAATCGAGTGCAGAATGTGTTCGTGGGGCAGAGCGCTCCCGACGTCTTCAGGGGCCACCAGAGCTCGAAGACTGCGGATCATTGACGCAACGACTTGACTGGCGGGCACGCGACGATCGCAAAGTACGGGCTAAGTGCGCACTCACGACCACCGTTCGCGGACTCTGGACTGTTATTCTAGAGCTGCGAATGAATGTTTTGGTCAGTCAACCAAAAAGCAGAACTTGGTCGAGAATGGGTTATAAGCTAGTGGATATGTGTCTACACTTACTGAGATCGAGTCAAACGGTTGGATCGTTGCGGACGGTGTCGCTCGAGGCGTATTCGTATACGCTGTGGATAGTTTCCACGCGAGTGCGATGTATGTGTGCACAGTGCGTATTGAATGCAAACGTGTCTTGCTCACGCTAAATCGAAGCCGTCAGTTTTTTTTGCTTTGCACGCCCCATGACATGTACTTTGGGTCGCTCAGATCAGTCCCGCGAACAAGCTCAAGTGAGACCACCCACAAGGACGTTTCGCAAATCTTCTGGCTGAGTGCCGCTCGGATCCCACGACACGCTACCAACCGCTCGTCACAACCCCATTTCGTCGACGTGAGCCGATTACCGTATCGCTACAACTACCATCCAATCGCTTTTGTTATACAATCATGCAGCTACGATCGAAACATTCTTGACATAAATACTAACTTGCGTCGCTCCCTCGCTGACGATTCCTGTCACTGCCGATCCCATCAGAAGCTGAACAGATCCGCTGGCTGCTGTAATGGCTGCCTCTTCTGGTCTGTGTTCACCAATTCTGCATGCGTGGCAGGGTCAAACGGGTCGTATTCGTTCCCACTCTTTCCAGACGTTTGCACTTGTTCCGGCAAATCCGAGAAATCAATTAAATTTCCCTCTTGCGCTTCGAGTCCTTCAGGCATCTCCTGCACAGGCTGGAGCGGGTGCTTCATCGGTACAAGCCGAGGCGAACGTCCAAGCTCCCTATTCGGATCATCCATGGCATCCTCGACTGTCTGCATCCCTCTTGCCAAACCGTTTATTGCTTGTGAGCTCAACGACATCTCTTGCAGCCGCTGACTAGCCTGTGCGCTCTTTCGGTCCACAACGGGTTTCTCCCACTGCATCTCCCCCGTCCCGTCGTGGCGAAAGTACACCGCGCCGCGCGAGCGCGAGTAGACAGGGTACCACCCCGGCTCGAGCGCAAAGTCCGTCTGCCCAATGTCGCTCCATGCACTGCCATCAACGAAAAAGTCGTACGACTTGTGTTCGTCGACGAGCGTCACCACCAGGTCCAGCTCGTGCTGGTCTTCCATGTCGTACTCAAACTCCCACACGTCTTCCTGAATATCGTCAAACTGCACGCGCGCGAGTTCGCGGCAGTCCAGCACAACGACAAACTCGCCCTTGTCCAAGTCCCGCAGCTCGAGCTTGTGGACATTGCCATGCAAGCCAAAAGCAAACGTCCACGTCAACAACGTGCCCGGCGGTCGCTCCTCGCCGTCACTCAAGAGCTCACCGTGCGTGTCGTCCACACGACGTACGTACATGTCGCTGCTCCAGACCGACGCCGCTTGGTGCCGAAACGCTGCGACGAGCATGCGCTCCGCCAGCTGGTCCCACGGCACACCTTCGGCCACGAGGTCATAGACCGTCTCGAGCCGTCGCTCGTCCACGACAGCGGTCGTCACGTCGCGAATGGTCACGCGGAACGGCGTGCGCGCGTCGGCGGTCGCCACGTTAAACTCGTACTGCCACTGCGTTGCAAACTGCTCCGACGTGAACAGCCGACGGCCGTCGAGCTTCAGCCGCTTCTTGGCCGACAGTCGGCTGTGCTCGAGCATCAGCGTGTGCACTTGATCGGAGCCCGAGAGCACAAAGCGCCACGTGATGCGCTTCTTCGAGATGGCGACGCGCGCGCCAATGTTCTCGACCTCTTTCGACACGCGAAAGACAGAGCTACTGCTGCTGCTGCTGTTGTTGTTGTTGTTATTGCCGTCGCCGCTGGCGGACGACGCGGTCGAGTCCATACTCCCACGTGCGCGTCGGGGCTTTGCCACGTATCCGTTCGAGTGGTCGCTGCCGGTGCTACTGCTGCGGGTGTAGGACAGCGGCGGCGACGCGTGCGGCATAGCAGACACTACTTACTCACTTGCTCACGTGCACGGGCGATGTGGTGGCTGAGTTGGTGAGGGGCGGGCGAGCCAATCGGAAGCGAGCGGAGAGAGTGGGTTTCGACCACTAAGAAGTCGGTACGGCGTCAAGGCGGACGCGTGGGTTGAGGGAGGCTGCAGTGGATTGCTCCCAGATGGCTACAGTTGGACACGTGCCCAGCGATGAGGACTGTCTGTGCATAAACAGGGCACATAAATGGATACTTTAAGACCATAAACTCCTGAGCAGCTGGCAGAAGACAAAAGCGATTTGTAGCCAAGTGCTGTCGCGGTCACAGCGAGAGTTTGGTTCACATCTGGTGGAGGTGGCCGGCTGGACTGGGCTGCCGGAAAGAGATGTTCAGTGTTTTTGGACCCGGCAGACAGAAGAGCACAGTTGCGATTGACGTTGTGCGAGCTACTGCTAGCGAGAAGACCGCCAAGGATACGTCGGACTGTTTGACCGAGCGGTGTAGCAAGTGTTTGGAGGTGAATGAAGGCGCGTGTCGTCCAATGGAACTGAATAGGGTGCTTACTTTTTCTTTTTGTAGGATGACGCGTTGGATGCAGAGAAGACGAGTTGTCAGTTGTCTGTCGAGTTTCTGAGACTAAGGACACCGTACTAAGAAAGCGCGCGAAAGCTAAACGTTGTACAGTTTGTCAATGAGGCGAGGTACTGACAAGTGAGCGCAGAAATATACACACCTACGAAGGCGCAAGGAATGCGTCTCCGGCAATGCATCGAAATACACGACACCCACGCCTTCAAGAGGGCTCATCACATCACGTGGCTAGGTACGCACAATCACCGAAACGTTTGTTTCGACATTGGTGTTGCGCACCTGTCTACGGATACTCGCTCATGTTACCTCATCGCTTCTCTGTGAGAGACGTCTTGTACACATGTGGCGCGGTACGGACAACCACCAGATCATCCGACACCGGCGTTGCGGACCGGTCGAAAGATACGCGTCCATACCATCGGATTGCTTCGCTGACAGCAGTCCTGCGTGCACGGGCAACGTCTGGTACAAGAAAGTAGACCATCAGTTGTTTTCCTCTTTCGTGCACGACTACGTGAGCCTCATCTCGGTCGACTGTGGACGGACGCAGGCGCTCTGTAACGGGGCAGCCCGTTGGGTGTGCCCCGTTACACGCTCTCTTCCCTGTCGAACACAATAGCGACAACGACAGGATACGTGTGAACATAGACGCGCGCTCCATCCGACTACTGACGATAATGACGGCGCGACGAAAGGCGGACGACCGAAAGTTTAGCAATACACAGAAATGACAGCAGCTGGTGCACGACCGACCTCTGCTGTCCTTCGACGTGACTCATTCGCGTGACTGCTGCGGTCAATAGCATATCCGACCGACTGGTGGGTGGCTATGATATTGGACGTGGGCGGGTGAGACGCAGCACTTTTTGCAGTAGATTAGACGACCGCGTTGTGCTGTATATACACTGGTTATGCGCTGCCGCGCAAGACCGCACCACGCTACAGCTCGACATCGATCGATCTGCAAGTGCCAACAACAGATGCCACCGGTATTTCGAGACTTTTCCATACATACGTGACATCGATGGACACGCAGCCGTCGTGAGCAAACACGCCTCGACACTGGGCGTCTCTACAAAGCACTTGAGGAGCTACACGTGACAAATGAGATGTCGCGTGCTTCGAGTGCGTTCTTCTTCCGCGTACTCGTTGAGGCAACGAAAGTCGATACCACAGTCATCAACATGTTCAAGCACTCTATTTATTGATTAGATGTCGAGGTCGGCCACGTCCCGTCTAGCGAATCCGCATGTACGATCCGTGGTCACGCAAATCTTGTGTTGTAACTTGTCACTGAAGCGAGAACGGCGCGTCCTGACGTCCAAAGGTAGCAGCTTGAGATCGCCTCGGCGACTCACTCTCGGTCGAATAGGAGCGTCGGTACTGGGGAAACAATCTTTGCCGATGATGTCGCCGCCGTTTCCGCCGCCCATTCATCAGCTTCCGTCTCGTCACCCGTCCAGGTTGGCTGAGACTACTTGCCGGAGGGGGAGGGGGATAACCGGCATCTTCAGGGACTGGAACCAATTGCTGAACGTTGACAACGTTTGGCGGTTGACCCGCGACGTGCGTCACGCTGAGAATGCCCGCGGCGAGAAGAAGAATGCCGTACAGACGCATACTGTATGTTGTAGGTTGGGTCGTTGCTGGTTGATCTCGAAAACGATAATGACCGGTCCCGAAGCATGCGCTCATCCACGTTGCAGCCTGAAAAGGTGCGTGTCTAGAAATTTGAGGGCACGCGAGCGTGCTCCCTCAAATCTCAAGATCAAAATGGTCCACGATCGAATGTTCGAGGACTGGGTTTGTTCAACGTAGAGTGCAGACTTCCGGAACCCAGTAAGCCAGATACGCAATCAGCGACAGCGGTACCACCATCGGCTGCTTCTCCTGTAGAGCTCAAGACTTGTCGCGTCATGCCTTGCCTTTACTTGCGTGTAAAGACGTGGGGTGCCCGACACGTTCTTCGACATTCTTGTGTGGTAAGGGTCAGCGCTTGCGCCTACGAAGCCCCACGCATCTCGCTCGCTCGCTCGCTCTTAGAAGTGCAATAGACCCCACGACGAGCGCATGGCGTTCGCTCCAAGATGAGCTGAGGTCGGTGCATGCTTCTGTGCGTATAGCTCTGTTTCGTAGCTCGAGGTGCATCTCACCAATACTGCAGCCTTTCTCGACTATCCGACTGCAGCATTTCTCGACTATCACAATCCCGTCGACCTCGTCTGAGGGCGTAAAGAAGCTAGCAGACCCCTGGTCTGTATCAGAGCGCTGGCTTCGACGGGTGCGGACACTCGACGGTCGTTCCACACTTGTACCTTCCAAGACGAGGAGAAAGCGTAAGAACGCTGAAGTCTGCTGTCGTGCATTGACTGCTCCGCGCCTCACCGAGTGTCACAGATGAATGACGCAAACGGTTGATAGGAGTGCAGGTGCTGCAGGACTCGTGACCTATACGACGCTTCTCGCGAGCGAGGCACAAGTTGAGGCACGTACGATATGCGTCCGTATCCACTGAGACGGGAGCTCGATTTGCAGACGGTAGCGCCACGATTTGGACTTGGAGGTCCATGTACCCAGGAGCTCCATTGACCTTTCTACAACGGTCTGGAGTTAGTCATCATTGACCGATTGTCTGCGCATAGTCCATTACCTCTCAAAAGCGAACTTCTGGCAGGTAAACACGCGACCAAGTAGCGCATATCGCTGAGACACGCGCTACTGGATTTCGTGTCACTAGCGTGAGGTCTGCTTTTGAGACGCGATGGAAAATCGCATCAACAACATTCAACAAACGTTCAGCGCGTGCATTGCAATATTCATCGATCAGTCCATATTATCGACATGAACAGAAAAACAAGTGGAATAATAGCTTTTATCTAGGTGCTACAAATACCAGATGCTTGCAAGACCCGACACACCGTGTCGAAGACAGCGAAAGCAATTGAATTGTTGTACGCTGCCAGGAGCTCTTGCCTCCTCACCATTGTTTACGCCAGTCATGTAGCCAGTACGATTATATATGACTACGAGCACGACGATGGGATGGATGAGTGCATGACATCGATCGACTCTTTGCACGCGACTAACGTGTGCCTTGCTGACATGCCATGAGATCTCTTGGGACGCAAACGCAGAGCCCAGATGCTATGCGATAGACGGTCTGATATTCGAGCTTGCAGTGGTACATTGTTGTTCTTGGTCGTCTGATAGAAGTTGAGGCCGAATGTGGCTGACGAGCTCGCAACTTATAGCTAGGCCGGCTCAGCTGTATTTGACATGTAAGCTGGCAACGCCAATACAAAAGGAAGGCACGCGATAAGAGTCTGAAGATTAGCGCAAGTGGGGCTATGGACTGCTGCTTGCAATCATATGAATGATCGGATGATGATCTCACCGTAGCAGAAAGCATGGCAGCTTGCATCATGGCACACGCCCTTTTGTGCCGATACGGCACATCAATTGAACGAACGAAGCGCTTGTTAAGTCCTGTGCAATTCAAGTGCTTCCATCGTCGGTTGACAAAATCAGTAGGTATGGTGTTGGCTGTACCGAATCCCATGTACCCCGTCTTGCGAAATGCTGTATTTGTATCTCAGTTTACATGCACGTGGAGTACAAAGGATAGTACCGGACTTGATGCTTCTGCTTGACAACATACGAACAACCACAAGACGCATTTTCGATATGATTGTACGTTTGCACTCTCATCATACATTTTTGGCCACGGATTGAAAGACAGACACGACAAATCGGTAGACTAACGTTATCTACCAGGGCGTACGCTTTGCCGATCGGGTCACATAAAGCTTAGACGGGATATCAATGCTTGGTTTCGGGACATAGGCTCGTTTCATCGGGCACAAACGACCAAAGGTTTCGCTTATCCGATGGTAGTACCGGCTGAGCAAAAGCGTCTGATGGCTCGCGTTGTTTCAGACAGATGGAGAAGAGGATGAAAGCGCGGGCCAGTACTGCAGATTACGTCTGCTCGTTCCAATTTACACATGTAAAGAATGAGCAACTCGAATCCATCTGTGTTCCGAGCATATCAATAGATTGCACCAAGTCACCACGAAAATAAACGGAGTCATTAGAAAAATACCGCTGAGAGAAGAGAAAGAAAACGTGCCGCATCATCGAATAAGTACATCAAATATCAACACAACACAACACAAGGCACCATCAGATGGATAACGATGCACCAAACAGTCCATGGTTCTAATAGTGCTCGAACGACGACGTCTACTGTGCGTTATGACATACACACCTTGTCATTATCGAGAAAAATACGTCGATGTCGTTGAAATGCATACAATGGTAGCAGCAATGATCGAAGAGCGACTGAGCATTTCCGGCGATAGGGTGGAGTGGGGTTGACCTCTCGTGTCGATAGATATCTTTTGCTACACCATGCAA